ACAGGCCTCCTGACACTGCCCTCTGGATTACCACCTGGAAAAGATGAGGAAACAGAATCAGACCTATGCCGCTTCTGTGAAGAAGCCTCTGCGTCTGCGGAACATTTACTTTGCAACTGTGAGGCATTGTGCCGCAGAAGACTGGTCCATCAGGAGCAGCCTTACTTAACGGCTGTGGATGTGAAAGAAGACAATCCCAGGAACATGCCAAAAGCCTTATGCTGGAAACCTACCAGATATAAGGGGAAGCGAAACATGTAGTTACATTTAGGATATCTCTAAAATATTTCATTTTTACATTTGGTACCTAATACTTCAGTAAGTAGGTATATCTGCAATCTGCTTTGTAGTAGTAGAGACATAATTTATTTCAATTATTATTATTTACACTCCATTATGTGGTATCGTCCCTGCTTTACACAATAGTGAAAGAAGTAGAGGGAATAGACCAGCAAAAAGAAAGAGGTTGTTATGTATTCAGCGACGTTTCGACCATATATTTTGGTCTTCTACAGGCTTCCAAATATAACATCATTGCAAAATTATTTACACATTCTCTAACGAACTGATGCTTCACATCACTATGTTTGGAACGCTTTGTTTCCAATGTACTAGCTATCTTTATAGTGGATTGATTATACTCATACATTTCGATAGGGAAAGTATTTTGGTCTAAAATTTTTGAAAGTAGGTAATTGGCCAAGAAAAATAAACTTAGTTGTACAGTTTGATAATGCAATGTATCCTGCTTTTGAGCTACTTCAGGACCATAAGTGTTATTGGATATCTCAGAACATTTTTAAGGTAATTCCAATGTTCCTCAGTAAAGCAGTCGTGAAATTGACTAAAGTAATGAACACAAAAACTCAAATCAGACTTAGGTGCTTCACGTGAACTATATAAAGCCTTTTTGAGTTTACAAACATACTTTGGCGTACCTCAACTCCTTCTGGCATATCCATAAAAACTGGTTCAGGTAAGTCACCGTGAAGAAACGCACACTTAACGTCTAATTGATTAATAATTAGGCCTTCTTCTACACTCAATGACAAGAGCACTCGAATTGACAGCATACGCGCGATAGGTGAGTATCCGTCTCAGCTATTATAGTCTCCTTGCTGATACCCAAGGGCCACAAGTCTGGCTTTCTTCACTCTTTCACCATTTATATCTTTTTCACAAAATACCCATCTTTAACATTGTCCGGACGGTTCACTAACTCTCACGTTTCATGTGCTTAAAGTATCCATTGAATTATTCTTTGATCTTGTACCACATTCCTGTTTTTCATTTTTGTTTCATGAAAAACAAAATTCCTTGCTGAGATCACTTTTTTTTTTTCATTAGGATTCCATAGCCGATATTCATTATCCGTGTATCCAACAAGATACATTGTCTGACTTCTAGGATCCAGCTTATTTTTCCTATTTTCAACAGGAATATGGACATAAGATGTACAGCCAAAAATTCTTATTTTGTCTAAATTTGGTTTATGCGAGTACCACACTTCAGCAGGATCCTTATTCTTGAAACTGGGAGGCGGCGTTCTCAGGAGAACGGGTGTTCTGTCTTTGTTACTTATATTATCATTTGCATATCATTGAGAGAGACGGAACACTCGTTCTCCTGGGAACATTGCTCCCCTGTTTCAAGAATAAGGACCCAGAGGTCTTGTTTGCTAGTGGTGTAGAGGTGGGGTTTCTATTTTTCAAATAGGCTGCTGTTGCTACAGCCTCTTTCCAAAACTCCTGCATGTTTTCCTAAGGATTGTGTATTTCAGTTCAATGCCTTTTTGCCTACAAATTTTTTTCATTACGTGTGATATGTATTCACCTCTGTTGTCATAACTAAATCTCTCTGGTAATAGCTTGAATTTATTTTCCACAATGGCTAGGTAATCTCTAAAATTTTGAAATGCTTCGCTTTTATTGACCATGAAGTAAACCATTGAAAAATGTGAGTGTGAGTAATGATCAATAAAACTAATAAAGTATCTTTGAATGGCCCACATACATCACTTGAGACTACTTCCAGTAATTTCTTAGCTTTTCTTTCATTTGGTAAATTTTGAAATGGTTTTCTTGTCTGGTTTGCCTGCATACATACTTCACATATCTTCTAGCTAGGATACTTGTAAGAATGTCCCATTCTCTGGTGCCACAAATCCTTTTCATCTGTTATGAGTGTAGTGATGCGGAAATAAACCACCATGAAAACAATTAAAGATTCTGATTATTCTAAACAACTAAAGACCTAGGATCCAACTACCGAAAATTAATCAAGAATAACTTACCAAACAACCATCCCAGGAGAGATCATCACTTAGACAGCACAACCAGAAACTTCAAAAAAAAAATAATCTGAATATCGATATCCAGAAATTATTGAAAGCCGATACCCTATATTGTAATTTGAATAAAGCAAAAGTTCATGGACCTTTTTTTTTAAGTGCTTCCAACAATTAACATTCCAAAGGAGCCGAAAAATTTCTAAAAGGATCAATAAATCATGCACGAGCCTATATGATGATACCCACTAACAAACCACTTAGCGACGCCCTTGATAATTAATTAAAAGGGGACCAAATACACTAATTGATCGGATGATTCAACCACGAAAAATCGAGGTCAGAAAAAATAAAGAAAATCAAGACAATGGAGGGACCAATGATATAAAAAGGCAACTTTGGCAGAGAAAATGAGTGTTCGAGAAAGAGCGAGTAAACCACTAGAACTATGGCGTGAAGGTTGAGTAATCAAGAAACAAGTAGTAATCGAGAATCGAGAGACCTGTGTCCAGAAAGTCAGAACTACGGCGTGAAAGAATTAACCGAGAGAAGCAGCACGACGTGAAATAACAGCGCGAAAATATTCGAGTTTTTTATTAAGTGTTCATTATTCAAGTAAATTCCTTCGACCAATAAGATTTCCATGTAATTAGGTGTGGCCAGCAGTAAATATATTATTGTTAAATGAAAGTAGAGTTTTTTTTATGTTCAGCCAGCAATTGTGAAAGCAAGAGTGTGAATCGAGTCAAACTGTAAATAAAATTTTTTACTTGGAATTATATAAATTTTCCTTAACAGTTAATTGATGCTTATTAGAAATCAATTTTATTGTAAGATTATTTATTACCGACGCTTGTTATTTAATAACAAGCATTATTTATTTTAATAAAATAAATTTTATTTTAATTGACCACAATATTTCTGTGTTTTACTCTCCACCCGCAAATAGGACCCATTTTTAACTGTGTCTCCACTCAGAAACTAAAGTCACCGCTCGCCAATTTAACATCTTGTCAAGTTTCTGAATTTGGGGTCTCACATGAGCATTTGTGCTTCATTTTCTGTGTTGTGTATTCTTAAACTCAAAACATACAGGTTATTATACTGTCATTGTTCTTTCTAATGCTTATTCGACTATTTTCGAAAACAACCTTCAATTCTATTTTCTTAACCGAAAGTAAGTTAGGTACTTATGTGTTAAATTTTTGCATACCAACACATTAATCAGTTTTATTTTTAATCCTGTTTCTGTTTTTAAGCATATTGAACCTTCAGTAGGTATAAGTTTTAACAAATTGACCTTCTTTTGCCACTTTTATTAAATGAATTACCTTCTTTATACCTGTTAAATAGTTTTCTCAATCACTAGTTACTAGATGATTCGTACAGCCAGAATCAAATACAAAATTTAATGCCCCCAACTTCATTATCTTGCTCTGCAACATGCACATTTCTTTGGTCATTTCCTAGATTTTTCTTGGGACAATTTACCTTTTTGTTTCCTTTTATACCACATTTTTAATAGTTATATGGAAATTTACCTTTGTGCTTTTTGTTATTCACCATAGGCTTGATTCGAGTCTCCCTGATTTTTCTTCTGTCTTGCCTCTTCTTGTAATAATTTGGATTTTACAAATTCTAAGGTGACTGCTTTGATTTTGACAGAAATATAGTATATCTATTGCTGTGGTAAGAGTTTGAAATAATTCAGGCATACTCGAAAACCCTGTTATCATTTCCTAATCACTAATTTTTACCACCACAGTTCTTGAGATCAAATATAGTTTTTTCAAATTCAATAATGAATTTGTTGAGGGAGTCACTGCCTTTAAACCTCATGTTTCTCAGTTTACTTTACAGTTGTAGGTAGGTACCTGAGTTGCTAGCCCACTCTTTACTCAAGTCTGATTTTCGCTGTTACCTACCTTGCACTTTATCATTTCAAGCACATTATTAAACAGACATCAAACAATCAAATTTCGGGCTCGCAAATTTATCTTCTTTCAACCTGCTAGGATTCCGTAGATAGGTGGATCTTCAGAAATTACAGTAAGTACATCATGATATGTTCCAACAGAAGTTTTATTCTGAATTCCCAATTCCCGAATCCATTACTATCAAAAGGTTTAACTGTAATGGCACTACTTATTCCAGTCGCCATGTTTACCTTGTTCTGAGCGTTTTTCGTTTACCAAAGTTACCACTAAAACCTCCTTAAAATCGACCGTTTTACTACTTCCTGACTTCGGGATAGTCTGGGCCCATAACCTATTGTTAGTTACGCCCAGTGAAACAACAATTAATGTTTTTATCAATTCTTTATTAATATAAAGAGCAAAAAGATACACAGAATGGGCTCATAAATGCAACATGCCATTCAACATTCTGATAAAAACTAAACAACATAACCTCAAACTCTAATATCTATAAAAAGAAGCAGCACTGTCATAATCTTGAGAAAAGAAGAGCTATGTTCCGTATTCTCGAAAGGTAAAAAGAATATCACTGCTTTGCCTCTAACTGCACTGAAGTGAATATATGAATTGTTTATCAACAAGATCAAATTAAGTCGCAGTGTAGAGAAGTCCATAACCTAAACACCGCAACCATCACAATCTACAATCTCATCTGCGAGTTCAAAAATTAAGCAACAAGACGTAATTTCCGAACAGGCCTAAAAAGTGATACATAAATAATTGTCATAAATGATTATGACAAATCTTGACTAAGTATTCGACGATTTTTCCTTAAAAATTTCCACTAAAACCCCATGGTTGAAACAATGTCGTCACAAGAGTTCACATCCAACCCGGACATCGAAGCAGAATTCGTTGACGACGACGTAGAAAAAAACGCCTCCGAAACCAACCAACAACAGCCCGAAGAGAAAAGAACCGAAGTTTCCAAACGCGGCGATTACGATGACGAACCCGACGAAACGTTATGCGAACGATTATGGGGCCTCACGGAAATGTTTCCAGAATCCGTAAGAAAAATCACCTCGTCGGCAATCGTAGCGACAAAGTTGGGATTGTGCAAGGCTCGGGCGGCATCTAGAACTGCCACGTGGATTATATTCAGTTCTTCGGTTTTGCTGTTTGCGCCGTTAGTTTTGGAAGTCGAAAGGGTCAATATTCAAGAGCTGCAGAAGAATCAACGGAAGGAGTTGTTGATAGGACCTAGCGGTGCTATTTCAGGCGGGGTTCCACCCATGTTGGTACCGTCGATTTCTTAATTTATTGTTATCGTTATTGTTATTATTAAAATATTTCGGTGGTACTGTGTTGTGCTTCATTTTATTGCAATTGATGGAATTTCAACTGATTACTTCAAATTAAATGGTTTTCTATCACTTACACTTTTCAATAATGATGAAATTGGACGTACAGTCCGTCGATTTTATTCTGATACTCCAACGGTCCCAAAGGAATGTGAGCTGGTGGCTCCCTACGTTAGAACGACAATGGTCACCTGACGTCACACCTGTTTTTGCCATAAGTTTCACCTCGCTCCTCGTACGGAAAGTGTCAGATTAGAAACGACGGACAATACATAAAGTCCATTCACTACACTTATATAAAAAAATCTGTTATTCATATAAGTGGCAAAGTAATTTATCTCTATTTCAGCCACGTAGTCCCTGAAAAAAAAACAGCTTTTCTAATTTGATTAAAAAGGGAAAGCAATGATTTATCGACAAAAGCCTGATGGAAAGTGCCAAAAAGGGAATCGATGGAACTGAAGGGTATCAAGTTAGTGCCTTAACGGCTAAGTGCTGGTTGATGTTCGGTTCAGACTCGAAATAAATTAGTTGATGTATGCACGATAATGGCCTGCTTATATCAGGAGGCTCAAGTATAAAATATTACACATACTTATAGAAATTTTATGGCGCTTCATTGTACAACCACTTCAAATATAAAAATAACATTCACTTATCTTTTTGAATCGATGATGATAATAATTTTAATAGACTTATCTATTTTACCAGACAAAGAGATAATAATACGAAAACTTCATTAATAAAAAAAGACACAAAACGCGCATTGCGCGTTAGACTTACGTATAGCAATCCGTTCTTCTTATTTGCAGGGAATAAAAAAGGAAGAAGACAGACCGCGTATTGTGCAACGTATTTGTCAATGAAAATTTGGAACAACTTTTGAATGTCACTTCTCAAGCTATGTTAATCATGAAACAAATATTAATTTTAGCCTCGATACTAACAATATTAGCACACTGTGCTAAATTAAAATCCACATTCATAAGCAAAAAAGCGGAGCCTGATTGGTGGACGCATTCGATAGTCTATCAAATTTATCCGAGATCGTTCAAAGACAGCGACAATGATGGCATAGGCGATTTACAAGGAATTATACAAAAATTGAATTACTTAGCTGACTTAGGAGTCGACGCTATTTGGCTGTCTCCGATTTATAAATCTCCGATGGTCGATGGTGGCTATGATATTAGCGATTATGAAGCTATAGCTGAGGAATATGGGACTTTAGATGATTTCAAAGTGGGTAATTTGATAATTTATATACAAGCAAAATAAAGTTCTTTTTTGTTTTAGGAGCTCCTATCTAAGGCTCACAACTTAGGCCTCAAAATCATCATGGACTTTGTCCTAAACCACTCCAGCGACCTCCACGAGTGGTTTACAAAATCCGTCACCCGAGAAACTGGATTTGAGGATTTCTACATCTGGAACGATGGAATTCTAGATGAAGAAGGAAACAAACAGCCTCCAAATAACTGGGTAAGAAAAACAATCAAAATTTATAAAAAAATTAAATATTTATAATATAGTTGAGTCTCTGGGATAACTCCGCGTGGGAATGGAACGAAATCAGACAACAATACTATTTCCATCAGTTTTCCAAACAACAACCTGATTTGAACTACAGAAACCATTTGGTTCGTCAAGCAATGGAGAACGTTCTCATCTACTGGCTGGATTTGGGTGTAGATGGTTTCAGAGTAGACGCATTGCCTCACCTGTACGAAGACGAATTGTTAAGAGACGAACCCGTAATAAACTCTGACGTTCCCAACAGCTACAACTCGTTAAATCACACTTACACCAAAGAACAACCAGAGACGTTTGAGTACATGTACAACTTAAGAGACATTATGGACAATTACACTCAAAGAGTTGGAGGAGACACGAGGATTTTCATGACAGAGTGTTCAAGTCCTGTTGAGCTAATAAACAAATATTATGGCAATGGGACTAGATTGGGTGCTCATTTTTCATTTAATTTCAATTTTCTGGCCCTAAACGAGAATTCAACAGCCAAAGATATTTATATAGAAGCCGCGGAATGGTATACTACTATTAATATTACTTACACCCTTAATTGGTTGACTGGTAACCACGATAATCACAGGGTAGCTTCTAGAGTAGGCTCGAAAAATGTAGATGCATACAATATGCTAATTGCCTTTCTAGATGGAGTTACTGTTACTTATATGGCCGAAGAGATTGGTCAAGAGAATGGAGAAGTCACTTGCGAAGAAGGCCAAGATCCTAGTGCTATAGGAAATTGCACTACATTTGCCCAGGTTAGTAGGGATTTTGAGAGAACACCGTTTCAATGGGACAGCAGTGTCAATGCTGGGTTTAACCAAGGCACTAAGCCTTGGCTTCCAGTTGGCTCTAAATATTTAGAAACAAATTTAGCTGCTCAAGTTGACGATGAGAATAGTCATTATAATATTTACAAAACGATGATTGGTTTGAAACCTTTGCTTCAATCTAATGAGTTAATTTCTTTGGCTTATGACGAAAACGATGGGGTTTTTAGTGCTAGTAGAGTGAGTTTGGACCCTTCAAAGCCTAAATACGTTTTTATTTATAATGTGAATGTGACAAAGTACGCACCAAGATACGCTGGATATAATATAATGTTGAAGAGTGGTAATTTGGATGTCCAGCCTGGGTAATTTGATTTTATAGGGGTTTATTGAAGTTTTGAAAATAATGATTTTTTAGGAAGCTTTTGATTCTCAAACCTGGTGATGCTGTTATTTTGGAATTGGAAAATGACGGCGATGATTCAGATGTAGATGTGAAGTTAGGTCAATAATTGAACAATAATTTATCATTTCAATAAATATACAGTGAGTTCATAAAGTCCCGCATAAATTCATTATTTTGAAAACGGTAGAATTTTTGAAAAGTCGCTCAGACACGTCAATTTTGTTTTTTTGTTTGAAATTTTTTGATATATTTTTTATCATACAGGGTGTCTCAAAAATAGCTTCGTTGGTATCAACTTTATTTTTTTAAATGGTACCCCCTGTATATTATGGCATTTCTGGATTCTGCGGAAAATACTCGACATATTTCATGTACAATGTCATATACCTATCTTCAACTGTTTCGGAAATATTGACATTTGAAAATTGACTTTTTTGCAACTTTGACAGGCTGTAAAACCTAAACGGTAAATTTTAGAGAAAAACGGATTTTACATTCCTATTTTGAATTTGCCTAAACTATTATTTAACACCGACTTTGGATTAAAGCGGAGATTAAATTTAACCGGAATTTTTAATCATAGATTAACTTCATAGGATAGGAATGTAAAATCGGTTTTGCTGTAAAATCAACCGTTCAGGTTTTAGAGTCTGTCAAAGATGCAAAAAAGTCAATTTTCAACTGTCAATATTTCCGAAATAGTTGAAGATAGGTATATGACATTGTACATGAAATATGTCTAGAATTTTCCGTGGAATCCAGAAATAACATAATATACAGGGGGTACTATTTAAATAAATGAAGTTGATGCCAGCGAAGCTATTTTTGAGCCACCCTGTATGATAAAAAATATATCAAAAAATTTCAAACTAAAAAACAAAATTGACGTGTCTGAGCGATTTTTCAAAAATTCTGCCGTTTTCAAAATAATGAATTTATGCGAGACTTTATGAACTCACTGTATATGGGTATCTGAAAATTTCCCAGATCAACATAAAGCTAGAAATCACTTCTTCTTTGGTGTTTCAACCTGCGTTAGTGCGACAGCACTCTTACGCAATTTTGGGTGAATCTACTCACTGCCATATGTTGTGTTTTAAGTTAATTTTTGGTCAGGGAAAGGGAGTAGGGAAAGGATGGGAATAGAGGAGGGAAGGGGATTTCATTCACTAGAACAGACGTGGAGCTTTTAGATTTCTGAAAATAGTCCTGTCAGGGTTAATGGTATAGTTATCGTCAAATAAAGAATCAATAATGTCATTTGTATGGTTAGTTGCTTTGTTAAAGGGGGTGTGCGCCAAAAAAACAACTTCATCTCAAAAAAAAAAGAGAATTTTTTTTTAAGAATAACAGTGAAATCCGCACCCCTCTATGACAAGTAATACCGCAGATATGGCTCTATGAAGGTACCGCATCTCACCCTATGACGTCACGAAAGCTTAAGCGACGCACGAGAAAGTGGCGTTAATTGAATTTACATGTTTCTCCTGTGTTATCTGTAATAATCTAAACAAAAATCACTCACGCGTGCCGGGAACAATCAAATTAACAATGCGGAGCGCGGCTGGACGAAGTTTTCGTGACGTCACGAGAGCGTCGTCCACACTTTAAAGCGGTATATCTCAGCGATGGTTTATCGTAGAATAACGAGGTTTGAACAGTTATTCTTAGATTTTTTTACACTAAAACTTTAATTTTTGGCGCACACCCCCTTTCAGAAACCACGTATGCTTCTCAACAAGGTACTCCTGGATTGTATCAACTCTCAGGTCCGTATGTAGGTCCGCATTGCGGATATACCACGGAGTGCCGACCATCCTACGAACTACCTTGTTTTGAAACACCTGCAGTTTCTTTTTATTTTGACGTGTTGTCTGTGAAAAAACTGTTGCACCGTAAAGTAAAGTAGGTCTGATAACTTGTTTGTACAGTAATAGTTTGTTTTTTAGTTAGTTTACTGTCTTTGTTAAGTAATGGATAAAGCAATCCCACTAATCTGTTGCATTTATTCAGTTTATGATAAATGTGAGGGTCCAAGAGAGTTTACTGTCCAGTAATAGTCCTAAATGTTTAATTTGATTTTGTTACGTGAGCAAAACACGGACACTGCCACTTTGTTAGCCGCAAAACGCGAGGGAGAAGTAAATAATGAACTTTGAGGGAGTGACTGAAGGGAACGGGTAACTAAGACAAAAAAATATAGAAAGAGAGGGTTGGTTGGTGGCTGAAATCTAGAAACGTGATTTCGTGTAAAGGGTGGCCGACTAGCTTCCAATGCGGAGAGGGGTGTGGGTCAATTAAATAACTAAATATAGAGCGCCACCTGCTTTTTCCCTGTAGTACACGAAATCAACCGATATAACGAAAGCAGGAAACTTCTACGGACCTATAGCAGCACAACCTGAAATATAAACGTAAACAAGAAGGGAGGACAAAAGTGAAACGCTTTGCTACAATCAGGTACGGGTTTTTAATTAGAACCAGAACAGAATAGGTTTGACTCCAGAGCAGGTTCGTTGTGGGTTTTCCGACCGCCCTAGAACACTGAAAATGATTCCCACTGGAACCAGAACAAGAAAAGAAATCGTCTAACCATATGTTCTTAAAATAGTATTTATAATAATTATTAATTACACTCAACTTGAGTCCCTAAATAAAAAATAAAAAAATAAAGAGTAATAACAATTAACAGCAATAATACCTGAAATATTAATTAATAAATAAGCTCACTTACTGCTATTTGCACCGCTACAACTTAAGGTCAGCCTTAGTCTTAAGTGGAACTTAAACTACGATTTTGCTTTGCACCGCTGTTTAGGGTCCACCTCAAGTCTGGTTAAGTTAAACCCCAGATTTTCTCCGCTTAGTTGGATTCTAACCTCATTTTTGGGTTTTGTTTTCTTTTTTTGGCAGAATTCTGGTTGACTTTGATTATCGATGATTTTGTATTTTTGTATTTGTAATATCCAAGGTTCCAAGAGCCTTTTCTCCGAAGACTGCATGTTTAAAGCAAACAAAAAAATATATATATGTTTATTTTCATAGCAAAAACAAGTTTGTCTACTTGCGTGCGCAAAGTAATCACTTTACACACTCATTTGCGTGCGCAAAGTTGAACTTTGCGCACGGAAACTCTTTGCGCACTCATTTTTGTTACGCATAATTACCATAGTTATACTTGATTTTTCAATGTTTTGATGGTTTTCGAATAAACTAATATTCAAAATGAAAGGTTTTAGTTGAACTTAGCGGTTAGTTAACATTAAATTTTCTATCAAAGGTGTCCAAATTGGACCAGCCTGTACTGCTAGGAATTTGTAGAATTTTTGATATTTGGGAGACTCATGTAAATATTCTAGCTGGTATTCTAGGAATTCCAGAAGATGTTAAAAGATTTTTGAGGATTTAATTTAAAAAGACATTTTGAGGAATTCCAATAGATTTTAAACGATTTTTGCAGATTTTGATTTGATTGATTTCTCTAATATTTTAACAATTCAAAGTCTACTTTTTTAAGATACTAGTAGAAAATATATTGTTCCTAACACTTGCGCAAAGTGTCTTTCCCGCACTCAAAGCTTATCCGAACTCCGCTTCGCGTCGTTTGTCTACCTGCTTTTTCGTGCGGGAAAGTATCACTTTGCGCACTTGTTAGGAAAATGACTATTTCCGAAGTTTTTTTTATGGTTGTTGCTGTTATTTAGTTATTTGTTAATGCTTTTATTTTTGTGCGTCGGGTAATTTCTACAGAATTTTGCACAAGAATGCCAAAAATATATTCAAAATAATATCCACGTGATATATCTTATGAAAGAAAAGACGAAATTAACGAAAATATTTATATTTTAATCGCAAAGATAGGTTAACGGATAAATTCCTTGCTTGAAATAGGTACCTCCACCTTCATTTCTGTCTTGAAATACGCATTTTTGCGCTGTTGCCAATAGCTTTCAATTCTTAGCTAAGATTTGGTAGGTGCAAAGTAACTCAACCTAAAGGTTCACCTTAAGCTTAGCCTCTACCTAACTTACAGCTATTTGCACCGGTGTTCCTTAAAAACAAACTAAGATTAGATCTATGAGCGAAAACTAGACAACTCAGAAAATCGGCAAAATGTGCCTGAGGAATTTTCCCGAACACTTAATCGTGGAAAGTCCTCGACCTGAATGACCTCTGCTTGTCCCTGCAATGTCCTTTAAAAAGGTTCTGTCAAAACTCCAAGGTGGAAGGTACTGGGGAATTTTGATGGTAGTTGGGGCATGGGACTTTTTCAAATTAAGTTAGTACCGGTCACTGACCCTATTTGGAGCGCTGTCAATCTAGTCAATCTACTCGGATCAGACAATCAGCTGTTCTAATGTAAATATTGTAATTTTATTTATTATAGTTATTTATGTATCAAGGGAATTATGCAGGTGTTAATACCCCAGGGCAACGTTTGTCCGTGGGTATTAACTCCAATTGCCCGTGGGTATTAACTCCTGATAATTCCCGTGGTACATAGATAATTTTATATCCTACTGAATTCACTGTATTCTGTCTATTTTTATAAAGGAATAAGCCATAAATCAAAATTTCTATTTTTTGTCAAAGTGTTACCTATTCAAGGTAAAAGCGGGAGTTATGGAAATCCTTAACTCCCTTGGGAGTTATGATATCCTTAACTCTCTTCCTTAACTCCCTTGGGAGTTATGAAAATCCTTAACTCCCTTGGGAGTTAAGACCCTGTTTATGATTATCGTAACCAAGGTATTATATGGTTTTAATAGTTCAGTAGGATATAAATAAATTAACTGACTATTTATTTTAACCCTACCAAAAGGAAATCAATTCCATTATTAAACCTTCAATTTGATGGTTCTGGAAAGAATGAAAAGTTTGAATGAAAAGTGTGGCCACAACTATTGGATAGAAAACAGTGGCTTGAGGAAGGTATGCTATTCTGTGAGGCGAATACGCTTATTTCCTCTTATTTTGGCCCAGGAAAAATCATCCCGTAACAATTTGTTCATGTAATTTCGGAATCGTCCAGTATGAGGTTGACAATATGTTTGTTACGTTTGTTGGAGATCAGGACGGCTTGGGTCTTATCGATGTGCTAGAATA